AGGGAATTCCCGGCGACTCCTCTGAAAGCTGTTCCGGCTAAACCCTCTCCGCCAACAGTCCAGTCTATCAGGGGGTCGTATACGAAAGCTTCCAGCAATGTTAACAACGTTTCTTTTCCCTTCTTCATTGTCTTCAGCACGTTTTCACATGCTAGTCTAAATATTCCCTATAAAAAAATAAATAAACGAAATTAAAATAATATTCATATAAATACTTTACAGATTATCTTTATAGATGCTTTACAATTTGCAAACAAAAAAAAAACATTATTACCTTCACTTAATTAAAAGAGAAAAGTGATTACTAGCTATAAAGAACTAATCTAGACTCGATTAAAATACGTAATATTAAAATGATAGATTGCAGATAAAAAGTTCATTAATAGTGTTCCCCTTTCGTTGGGATAAAATTTATCACGTAATTATCAACAATTTATGAAAAACAGTAATTCAACGTACCTATGTTAATACACAATATTGAAGGAAATTGATTTAAGTTTCAATAGTAACGACTAAAGTAACGAATTAGCAAAAATTAAAAGCTATATACTTAAGTAGAAGGTAATGTGATCAGTACAAATCGATATTCATCATCATTCAGCAACCTTGAAATTAAATACATTTCTAAAAAAATGCCAAAACTAACAATTTATAAAAAACATTACAAATGAATGTAATTTTTTAATGATCATGTATGTGAACATTGTATTAACTGCGCCAGAACAAACATCGAGGCAACTCATCGATGTTGATAAAAAAGGTAACAAAATAGAAGTAGACGTTATGTATATATACATATATAAATCAAATATTGTGTGTTTTATAATATGTAGGAAGTTATGAGTGTATACAAAATTTTTATATGCACACATACATGTAATCAACCACAAGCAGCACTTGTAATTGCGGAATCGCATGTATTTTCCACGTTAGTAGTATTATATCACTTCACATGGGAAACAAGCACTTGATCGTGAGTAAAAGTTTTCATTAAAGTGAAACTTTGAACTGGTTTTTAAAATTGCATTGCACATAGGTATATAACTGAATCTACAAAAAATTTTAAAACTCTATTTTTATGCGAACTAGTTAAATAATATTAATTAAAAAAATTGCTAGTGTTTCAAAATTAAAGATTAACAGAAGATCCCATAAACTTTTTTCGGGTAAGTTTCGTTTTTACTTATAGTATAAGTCATTTTTTTCTTCCTTTTTTTTGTTTTTGAAACAACTGATAGGTATACATATACATTATTTAATTTCTAGAGAACACTGATTGCTTCATTGAAGAAAAACAAAAAGACAAAGTGTCAAAGGGAAAAAGCTCTAGAGAAAAAACTTTTTTCCACGAATCGAACTGCTTGTAACTTACAATTAAACGAAATTCGAAATAGCTCTATTTACGAACCAACTTATATCCGTTACATAAACAATAATTTAAACATAGGGCACTATGCCAAAATCGAAACCATTGCAGTTCGATAACATAAACTCCTTACAAAGTAATGTTACGAAAACTGTACATTTGAAATGACTTAAGGATCGACAACTTCCTGTAATGAATAGCACCAACAACACGACTACAGACATTCCTATTTTTTCGACAACATCGCTAGCTTCAAAATTGGACGATGAACTGGACCAGTCCGGATTAGAAGCCTTCCTCTTATCCCTCGACTTCATCCTGGCTTTTGTTAATTTGAGCGGCAACACTCTCACCATAGTCGCTTTAAACTTGAGCAAAAAGCTCTCGGCACTTCTTTCCAATCAGTTTATATTCAATTTAGCCCTGAGCGATATCCTAGTGGGTCTGAGCATCCTCTACCACGATCTGTTTTATATAGGTGTTGGCTACGAAAAAATCAAGTACCTTTGCATCCTAAAATTCGTTTTCATATTTTTCGCTTGCTCGAGTTCCATTTACAATCTTTTCGGCATCGCGGCAGATAGATACCTGGCAGTGGTCTACCCCTTGCACTACAGCAAGTACATGACCAAGAAGGTGGCCCTTTTAATAAACTGCACAGGGTGGATTACGGCACTTTCGTTAGCCATGACCATTCTATGGTGGAACAATTACGATGAAGCACATCAGGATTGCAAATTGGTAAATGTTGTACCAGAAGCTTACACCACTTACGTAACGACACCCATGTTTGTCATGATTTGGATGGTCATGCTTGTTCTGTACGCAAAAATATGGAACGAAGCGAGAGTACACACGAAAAGGTTGAAGAATGCAATGGGGTGCATACGTGGTACAGTACCAGATGATTCGAAATCTATTCAGGTAGCAAACTTTATTGCAATAATCATCTTCAGATGTTTCGAGTGTGTTTTACTGTTGGCATCTTCAGTAGAACATCAATCGCAACAATGTTTTTATGTTTTACCGTTTAGTCGTTATCATCAATTTAATCAGAGCGTATAGTTACAGAACTTTTTGAAACAATGCATTGGCAAGGTTCATAAATTAAATCGAAAAGAAAAAACGTCGACGCTTCCTACGAAAACTAATTGAAATATAAAAGACAATAACAACGCAAGTGCGCAAAACAAAAGATTATTAAAGTTATTATCTAATGTTACCGCGATGTTTATTAAGTTTTTTATTTGTTTTTTTTTACAATACCACTAATGGACTTTCGGAACCCACAAATTTGAAATTTACCTACCCATAAACTTACTTACTTACTTAATGTTACTATTTTCTGTTGCAGTTAATATGTTTCATATTGGGTTGCTTCTCGATCTGTTGGCTGCCTTATTTCATATACATCATGGTGGTAAGAATTTACGGTCCTGTATACAGCAATCAAGTGTACGAAATTGCCTTCACCATGGCAATGGCAAATTCGTGTATGAACCCGATAATATACGCATGGAAAAATAAAAACTTTCGGACTGCCTTCTGGTGCCTTTTGCACTGTAAATCGCCCAATTCGGTCCACAAGAGGAATTTCGTCACGAATCACGTACCGAATATAAAACGATTATCTGTCTGTAATGTAGCCTCGAATTTTTCATTCGACGATCATGACGCTGAAATGAGTTGTTCCGAGAGGAAAGGAAGCGACGCCAATTTTAGCGTTCAAACTACAAATTCCAGCTTGCATTATTAAAAGGCAAAGCTGAAGCCTAACGTTTTATGTGTCGTTGTACAATAGGTACAATATTTTGTTGTAAATAAAAATGCCTAATGAAAACATAAGTGTGTTTTCTTTTTTAAATACCTCAATTCATCTGATAAAGAACAAGTCGTACAAATTAAAATACTTAAACGAAATGAAGTTTATGTTTACCTCAACTCCTGTAACTCCCAGAGCTTCTCTAATGTTGGGTGTAAGTCGAAAGGGCACCTTTTCGGGCACTCGCAGAGTCTTTCCTTTCTCAAAGCACACGTTGTAGTCTATATGAACCACTTCGCCACTGGACAGGTCGACAAGTACGTTATCCAAGTGTCTGTCTCCTAATCCGATTATATAACCGATAATACTCATTACCGCAATAGAATACGAATATTTTCGCACCACTTGCCACCACACGCCCGCATTTATTGCGTTACACCATAGTTCTTTCGCTAGCAAATCGCTGGGCGTTTCGTTCATTAATTCAACTAGGACTTGTTTTAATATAGACAGGGGCCATTCCTTTCTGTTTTCCAAATTCTTGACCCCGTAGTCTTGCAGAAGGGGATTGAGTTTGTTGTAGAAAAGTTCGGAGGGCCTTTGAATAACGCTGTTTGCAGTGGAGCTAGATTTCGACACTGGTTTAGTCGCCTCCCTCTGCTGCCAACGTTTATACAGAGCAAAAACAGGAGTCTTCCCGTCGACCCAGCTAATCAGACCACTTCTTGGTCCCAACGGGATAACGGAATAGTGACGGGCGCGGTAGAGGTCACGGTCAGAACCGTTTGTGATCTCCTGCATCATGGTATTCGTGATTGAAAGGAACTGCATTATCCTTTCGTCAAGATGAAGATCTTCCAGTCCTTTGAAAAGGTAAGTGTACGTCTGTCCATCGGAGCCATAAAACATTAGTTTCTTGGGTTTAGTTTTGGTCGGTAAGATGGAGACGTGATTTGAGAGACCTACGATCGTTATTCTGCCTTTAGAGACCGATTCTATGCCCGGCATGGCGATAACTGTGTCTTTCATTCCTGCCAGGGTGGGGCTTATGTCTTGCATTTTTAAGGTGTATGACGTTCTTTTGTGAGTTTTCTGCTGGAACTTGGTCTGGAGCATTCTCAGCGGTTGCCAACATTCTTGGACTTTCTCTGGGTTTTCCGGTTTTTTCAACTGCTCCATCACTTTTTCTATAAGTGGTAGATATTGATCTTGGAAGTTCTTTTCGTGAGGTGTTTCAGGTTCGGTACTGGTCACTGCGTAAAGCTGCTCCAAAATAAATACTATCGGTTTAACTATAATTCTGTACTTTTCTGTTATCAACGATATCTTCTCTTGCTTATCCAGGTTTGGATTTTCATTTACTTTCTCTATTTCCTGTTCGAGCATCTGCTGTCGCTTATTAATTTCGCTGTGATGTTGAAACAACGTTCCCAGCCAAAGTTCGTCCCATAGCAAAGTGATTCGTCGCAATTCTTTGACAAACAGTTGCACCTGAGCAATAGTTTCCGGATCTTGTTTGCTCAAAGTTTCAACCATCGATTTGAAACACGACTGAAGCACTGTTTTGTTTGAATCGTCGGTATCACTTTCGTAAACATCTTCTAGATCGTTTAGTTCGGTGTACTCATTGTTATCGTTACTTTGAGAATAGTCTTTGGAGAGAGAAATTTCGGAGAAGTCAAATTTGACGCCCCCCTCCACTGCACCAACTACAGCCGGAAACGTGATGAGATGGGGAGCATCTTCGGCGATACGGCAAAGTAATTCAGAAACTCGAAAACGTACGTAATTCTCGGGATGGTTCATGCGTGAAAAAAGTTGCGGTATGATGGCCTTCCAGGGATACGTAGGGGTTGATGCCAGGCCGTTTTCAAGAACGTTCTGAAGTTCTAAGGCGTGTTTCACGATCAACCTTAGAAGTCGAAGAGTTGCTGTGATAATATTCGACTCTAAGCGGTTGCCGTCTGCACTGCCTGATGTAGTGGCCAATTGTAAATACTTAAAGTATGCCTGAGCGCTTAGTTCATAGTAGGCATAGATGCGTTTTTGGGCGTTTTTCCACATAAAAACCAACGTTTGCATTTGTTTTTCGTCAGCATTAAACAATGCAGGAATATCTTCTAATTGTGTCTGTATAATTTCAGTAATGTTTATTTCTCTTGAGTCTATATCATCTTCGTCTCTCGCATAAGTCTGCGATAATACGTTAAGTACTCTGGCTAAATCCTCTTGTTTCGTTTCAGGGGGCAGGATTTGCTGAATGGACAGCTTGTCGTCTTCGGTTAATAAATTACTCAGGTCGGAACTGTGGTCCACAACTTTACGTCCCCAACGATAGCACCATGTACCAAAAGCGTTCCATGTTTTGGCCAGAGTTGCGCATTGATGGACGCTAAAATGCAATATTTTTCCAACTGCCAGTTCATGAGAAGGTATGATATTTACGCCGACATTTTCGACTACGTTTATCTCGGGCAGGACCATGAGAAAGTTGCTCAAAGGACTGGTGATGTCGGTCAGACAGGCATTTTCATTTTGTTGCAACCATGATGCCAACTTCAAAAGAATTCGACTGCTTATTTCTCTCATTTCTTTTCCTCCGAAAAGTTCTGCATTCTTAAATATTCCCGTCGAAACTGCTGCACATAAGTTGAATGTTAACTGTTTGTCATTAACTAAATAAAGTAGTTTAATTATTTCTTTAGCAACTTTTGCCAAGTCTAGACTCCACAGCCCTACTTCGGGACTCTTTTGAATTAACATGCTGGCGATATTTTGAAGTGGAGTTGTACTGCTGTTGGTATGTTCGTCCACAAGAAATTCCTTTTGCTCTAGAAATTTATTTATGTGCAAAGAGGCAGCTTTAAGATTTCTCTCTTTACGTGATTTGTTTATAATATCCAAACGTAAGTTACTGCAGAACGCAGAAAATCCCTGATCTTGGGTTTTTGCAAAAAATTCTGACCACCACAGTATTTTCGTTAAAACAGTCGAATCGATCTTCTCCAGGTCTTTTTCAAAGTTTTCTGAAACTAAGAAGACAGTGTTCGTCGGAGTACTGTTTAGTATATTCTTTAAGCCATTTGCTATATACTGCATTAGATTGAATGTCTGTAAAAACTCTGAAGGCAGCATTACAAGACTGTTTTGTATCGTATTCTGGATTTCGAGCAAGTTTTGATCAACTTTAATAATTAAGTCGTCCGTTTTTGAGGACAATACGTTAAATGCAACTTCGTACAATTCATTTTCGGTCTTTTTGAGTATGTCGTACAAACTCCAACAGTCTTCAGTTTTTAGTTTCCAATCAATTAATTCATCGAATGCGTGTATATTCGACTCGTATTTAAAAATAGTTTCGGCACACTCAGGAATTACGGTTCTGAAGGAATACTGAAAATTCGAATAGTTTTGCATCTGAAGTAAATCCTTATCTTTAAAGCATTCCACAATATTTTCCCAATCGTTCAACTCTTTATAGCAATTAATTATTTGATCGGCTACAAAATGTTGCATCTGAAGATTAAAATTCATTGTCTTGGATTCACCTGGAGGTTGCTCTTCTGAACTTTCGACGGTGTCATCGTTTTCCTTTTTTAATTCTAGAAAAACTTTTTCGTAGTTTTCTGCAGCCATTTCGAACTTCTTACTGGACTGTTCGGCAGCGCACTTAATCCACGCGAACTTCTTATGGGCCACGTTTTTACACCATACATATAGGCCGTAAAGCGTCTCGGTTTCTCGTAAATTCAAAAGACTCAGTGTTGTAAACAGAACTGCCCTGTCAAACTCAGAAGTTTTCGTTTTTTTATTTTTCACCAAGTCTTCGAGCAGAGCTTGGCCGTGACGTAAAGCTATTGCGGACTCTCCGATGTGCACGGCAATGTGTATCATCACGAGACGTATCCTGGCAAGCCATTCCTTGCATGTGGATGCGTTTGTATGGAAAAAGGTGCGAACAGTTTTTATCGGTTGAGGCATAGCAACCGCACAACCTTCGTACGCGTTGTAAATAGATTTCTCCAAATGTTCCATAAACTGCAAAAGCATTCTTACTTGCTCCTGGCTGATTTTAAACGATTCTGATTCCCCCTTCCTATGTATTATATCTCTGGCTATATATTTTAGGCAACTTTCTATGCTTGTGAACGTTTCTGTTGGTTTTCCTAAGGTTGTTCTCAATTTCGAGTTGATGCAAAGTTGTGCAGCTTCCCATGTGGCCCAATTTTGTAATACGATCCTGGAGGTCAGGGCTAAAGTTTGGAACTCTTCCATGTTGACGGAACAGTCAGACTCTAATGGCCAACAACAAACGAATATGTCCTCCAACCAATTACTGTCTTCTTTTTTTTCATTCTTTAATAAAAACTTCATGAAAGTCTTGAAGTGGAGCGGTGCCATTTCTCCGAATATAGATCCCGACTGGTGAAGGTGTTGTGCCAGCGTAACAACATAATTATTATTTTCGGATAAGTTGCTGCATCTTCTCTTGGATTCTTCTAGCGAATATATTTTGTTGATTTGAATTACGTTAACGTCCCACGGGATATTTGCAAGTAAATTTGTGTAGCTTTGCCGTATCTTCGGATTGTTACAATTCATTTGTAAAACACACAATTCATGGACGTCGTTCAAAAAAGTATTGTTCCAAGAAAGATTTTTGTCGTGCAACAATTTTTCTAGATTGGATGCTACTGCTAAGATTATTTTTTCGTCGAAACTGTGGCCACACTTGACCAAAACGTTAGCGACTTTTACGAATTCCTCGCTACAATAAAGTATTTCGAGATAGCGTTCCGAATTGATAAGAATATCGTGTAACCATTGCAGTAATAGCATGTCTGTTTCTGAACTTGTCTTGACATTCAAATTATTATGTAGTACGTTTAATATAACAGCAAAATTCCCACTGTTTGGCGATTTCGTAGTTACGTCATTTATATTCAGATTTTCGCCAACTAACAATCGTCCCATTACACTGGCGTTTACTTGACTGTTGGTAACTAGACTACTGCTTGATATAAAATGATTGTAACATTTAGAATGCAAATAGAGGAGGTACAAGATGCAATGGTGCAATGTGGGAGCGTTCTTAATCAACCCTGGGTGGTCAGGTTTCAGTAAAACTCCTAACAATTCCAATATGCTGGGTTTTAAGGCCCACAGTCCTATTATCGATCCGCTGGAGGTTGCAAGTTGCGACAAACAATTAAGAAAGAATAATATACTAAGTTCTGCATCTTCATTCAGTTCATCTTTTCCTTCTTCAAATAGACTATTAAAACAAAAGGGCGATATTTCGGGAACGATCTTTTTAACGCTGAGTTCCAAGTCACCTAAAACACATCTGTAAGCCTCTTGGAGTAGTGGGATATTTTTTAAATTAAGTAAAGCCTGATACAGACAAACCGTGTTATTTTGTATCAGTTGAGAATGTGAAGTACGCAGCTTTCTGACTTCCGCATTCGGTCCGATCAATTTGTGAATTAATTCTTGAGGTAGGTTGGCAGATAGCTCTCTAATTATAGTTGCTATCATGGACAACATTGAAATAACTGTAGAGTCGCTAAATTTACGAATTAAAGACAGTTCAGTGTCAATTAGGGAGTATAAACAATTATTTGAAGTGCCTGCTTTTGTTCCAAGAACTGCTGTTAGAATTGATATGCTCTCATTTGCAGCAATTATCAAATTGTCAGACACAGTTAACTCTAACACACCTGAAAGGGTATTTAATATACGATTTAAACAATCCGATACTGCCTTCACGGACACCAGTTCGTTATTGTTCGGATGAAAAGCATCTTCTAAACATTTCAGTACTGTATTGAATGCAAGTACAGATACAGTTAAATGTTCGATGCAGTTTATTTCTATTCCGTCATTGGGATCTCGTTCTTTCAATTGACTGGCATATGTACCTATATCTTCCACAAAATTCCAAATTAAGCTGACTGAAAAATCTAAATTCAACTGGAAGTGCTTGCCTATATGCTGCAACATATCAGATATGAATTCTATGGTCGACAAGTGTTGTGTGTGGTCTACGTGCCAGCCAAATAATAGATCGGCTGTATCTCGAAATTGCGAGTAAAAATGCTCCGGATATAATTCCACCAAATCAATTAAAATTTCTAAAATTGCCTTGAATATTTCAGAATTCTCTGTATTTTCAAGTGCCAAGACAAACTCTGTAATGAAATTTTCGGCGTAATTTTCTAAAACAGGCTTATTGCGGTCAAACTCCAGGGTTTCATGACACGCCTTCATAAAAAGAAAACGTATTTCGTCTGATTCTGTCTCCATTTTTGAAAACATCCAGTTCATATATCTACCAAAATCGTTTTCTTGGGCCATTATGTAACCCATCCTTCCCAGAGCCCTTGCTGCTTGTTGCTTGGCTAAAGAACCCGGCGCCACATATAAAATGTCTAACATTGAATCTCCTAATATATGAAATGCCTTACGAACATAAGTAGCATTATCAGGTATTAATAACACTTCCAATAATTTCTTTGAAATTACCAATGAGTTTTCTTGATCATTTTCAGTACTTAGACGTCGTAATAATTTAGATATTCGTGTATCCTCAGGCAAATTAAATTTTATCTCATTTTTCTTATCTGATTCGTAAAATTTCGAACGTTGTGCATCTATATCTGCACTACGGTTTAAAGAACTATAATATTTGCGAGAGCCGGTAAATATGCCACCAGTAGCGCTCTCAGAATACTCACGATCGCGTCTGGAAGACAGGCCTCCCCTGCTTTTATATCCTCTGCGTTCTATCGGTGCCCCCCTCGACGGTTTAAAGTCTGTATGACGAACTTTGGGGTTCTTGTATCGTCCGTCCCTCGAACTAAAAATTATAGGACGACGACCAGAATCGCCGGACGCATCCTCGGCTAAGTTTTCGTTTTCATTACCGTCTACTCCTTGCTGATTCGAATAATCTTGAATATCCTTTAAGCTCCTTGAAGCTTTTAATTTGTACGACACAGTGTTCGATAACATCACTTAGATGACATACCGGCAGTTTTTGGTAGCTAGCACAGGAGAAATATCTGACAATTTAATTTTAACAACAACTTTTTATGCTTTTATTAACAAAAGCCACAAATAAATTATGAATTACAACACAAATGTCAAATTTTAAGTTTACCATTTTTGCGAAATTTGATGTATCACTATGATCATCTATGATAGGTAAATCATAGATTACTATAGAACAAGCAGAATTTAAGGTGCGTTCAGGTAAAGTAGTAAACAAATGAAAACGAAATCAACGCAAGTTGCCAGATCATGAACAAAATGAATGAATTACCTAACAAATTGCAGACAGATTGTGTTATTGAGGTAAAAGGTTATTAAATTAAAAAAAAAAGGAAGAAAACCACGTACGTTCTTTCAACAAATTAGAATATGTGTATAAAATACATTAATATAATAAATGCTTATCAAAATAAAAACAAAAATGCCACCGCATATATGTTAGACCTTCTTTATGTCTTGTGCCCCCAAATTTTTAAAACATATTCTTGAACTTATTCTTATCTTCCTCGTCTTTCTTTTTTACTACCTCATTTAAATTATTTAATTCCTTTTTTACGGCTTGTGTTAGTGAACTGTCCAATTTCATGACCTTAGCAAAGTCATTTTTTGCCTGTTCTACATTCCAAATTGCTGCATGAGCCTTAGCTCTCCTGTATAATGCCTTTACATTATCTGCACAATAATAAATTTAAGTAACCAATCATTAGTTACTTTTTAAGAATATTACAATACCTGGTTCTGAATCAAGAACAGTTGAACAATGTTCAATAACAGCATAATAATCTTTTTCAAAGAGTTTACACTGTGAAAAATTTAAGAGCAAAGGAATCTTTTGTTTATTAAGCTTATTCCATTCTGTATCTCTGGGCTTTTCCCTTAAAGAAAAAAAGTCAGATTTTTCAATTACTATTTTCTTCTATTAAAAGCTATACCGAATCATAAACTGTTCTAATAAGCCTATTGCCTGAGCATAACAGTCTGATGCTTCTTTATAATTTTTATCTTTAAATTTAAGATTTCCTTTCTCTTTCAAGTTAATAATTTGTTCACGTTTCTCCTGATCATTCATCTGCCAAGTTTCCTTCTCATATTCTTCAGGCTCTTCAACTTTCAACAAATCTAAAAGGCGGTTGCCGTATGTTTTCAACATTTCAACAATAACTCATATTACCAATAACGAATTCCAAGTCTTGTGGATTTTTAAGCAATTGATTTAAATCATCATAACCAATTCCTTCCTGTTGAACAGTCATTGCGCAACAGTGGCCTTTTCTCTGTTCAACAGGAATGTACGAATCTCTTAGTGTTTTAGACACTAACGGATATTGGAGAACCAACTGTAATAAAAGTCAGAAGCAATGAACATGTAAAAGAAATGCCTTCATAACCATTACTTGTTTATTGACAGTAAACACAGCCACTTCGTTCAACTGCATCTTCCTTATGATTGCCTCCCAAACTTCCAACTTAAACTTTTTGCCCAAAACTAATTCCATGGGTTTCCCAATTCCCATTTTTTTGGAGTCGTCGATAACAGTTTTATCTTCATTGCATAAACGTGTTTGAAAATGAAAAGTAACCTTCATACCATTTTTAAATGTAACAGGTTTACTGCCTCCGTAAAGAATTTTTTTGCTTATCAGCGGTTCGTTATTCATTGCAGTTATATTTTTAGAAATAAACGATTTTTATGTACCAAATAATAATATAGCGTATTTAGTTTTTTAATGAATTTTTGACGTTTATTAGATAGGTTATATCAACTATACTTCCCATAGAAATAAAACTTCTTCTTCTTTTAACCGTAGAACATAAACTGTAGATAGCAAAAGGCCAACCACATGCATATCTATGTCCAACCATATGCACATCTATGGCCAACCACATGCATATCTGTGGCCATACAATATACACATCTATAGTCAACCACATGCATATCTATGGCCAATCCATAGATCCACTCTATATCTTTTTTGTTTATGAGTCAATCAACCAAATATAACCTTCAAAGTTTGAATGCAGTTGTTTAGAAAACAAATTGCCATAACGAAATATAAAATAAAAAAGGAGCAAATGTTCATTTAGAAAAATAATAAAATACCGAAATTAATCTATGTGTCCATTAGATTCATTCATAATAAAGGAAAATTATTTTAAAAATGAGTGAAGTGGTAACCAATATTTTGAACGATATACTTCGTGTGGACAACATAGAAGAAGCTTTTAGCTGTTTCCTTGTTCATCGTCAACTATCTGAGAAAGACAAGGTCTCTTCGTGGTACCTAGAATTGGCCAATGCTCTGCGGGGAATATCTCCAGAACAAGCAGAAAGTGCTGTTAGATTGTACCTTTCCATAACACACAATGTCATTAACACTCATTTACAATTATTAATGCAATTATTGGAGAAACTTGTACTGGAAAACATTCTGCCTGCGCGATTAGTGTGTGAAGTTTTGATTACAAATGATAAACTTACAAGTCAGAATCGCGATTTCTGGATTGAGTCGTTTAAAGTTCTTCGGAATGTTATTGATGGTGTCGAGTATAAAGGTGTCCGAGAAATATTGAAGGTAAGTTTAAAAGTTTTTCGCTACATTTAAGATTACCTTTTCGGTTTTTCATATTAGGGCTGTTGTGAGAAGGCCAAGATCCTCCCACGTCATTTACATCCAGGCCTTCTTCCTCAAATGCAAACATTAATTCGCCTGGTGGAACATATAATGGACAGAAATGCCTGCCTTTTGCCCAGTTACCTTTTAGTAAATGAACTGCAGAAGGCCTATCCAGACAATTATCCTCACTGGTGTCTCTCCTCTCTCTTTTCTGATTATGTTGAAAGTTTCAGAGATTGTGCTCAGATGGTGTCAATTATAGGTCATACTGAAATGAGACCAGTAGTGGAACATAGCGGTTGCCCTGAGCATTTAGTAAATCCTTGGAAACTAGATCCCACTACACTAAGATTTACATTAAAGGGAATTCTCCCATACGCTCCAGAACTGCTGGAGAAACAAACAGGCCTGCTCAGATACGTTGTAGAGCAACCATACAGTAGAGATATGGTCTGTGGAATGTTGGGACTCCAGAAACAACACAAGCAACATTGCACTGCTTTAGAAGAACAATTGGTGGAACTCATCGTCTTAGCAATGGAACGAAGCGAAGTCGAAGGTGACGAGGAAGCAACGAAAGGACTATGGTTACATTTATCATCTCAATTAATTTATTTTATCTTGTTTCAAATTTCAAGTTTCTCTAATATCATTCTAGCGTTACATTCGAAACTTCAAGGACGGGACCTACGGCGCGGTAGAGATCAATTAATGTGGGTCCTGTTACAATTTATTTCTGGATCTATACAGAAAAATCCTCTGTCCACTTTTCTACCTGCTTTAAAACTGTATGAACTTCTGTTTCCTGAACATGAACCCCCTTTACCAGTTCCAGACTATACCCAACCTCATTGCACCAGACAAATGGCAATGACATGCATCTGGATTCATTTTGTTAAAAAGGCGCAACAAGAACAAAACATTACAAGTACAGGTTAGTAAGACTAATGGAGAAAAAGAAATACTTTTTCAATCGAAATCCTAAAATGTTAACGTGTTTTATTAGCCTGGACAATTCCAAACAAGTTACGTTTACATCACGAGTTCCTTCAACATCTCGTACACCCCAATAATGCGACCCCCTTATCGATGGTCAACGATTATAGGATAGCGCTACTGTGTAACGCATATTCCACTAATCAGGATTATTTTAGTAAACCTATGGCTGCTTTGATTGACACAATTGAGGTAAACGAATGGAAAACAAACTTATTTTAAGTTTAATTTTAAAAAATGTATAAAAACGAAATAGGGCAGCCCTAAAAGTTCCACCCCACCAACTGTACCCCTCAGTATGGCATTCCTAGACTCTTTAACGGTTCATTCAAAAATGAGTCTTATTCACAGCATCGTTTCACATGTAATAAAATCGGCACAGACCAAATCAGGTACATACTCCATTTATTTACCAAAGTAATAAGGAACACCACTATAAGAAGTACTTGTATTTTAGGATTGCCTCTGGCTCCGGCTCTCGTTGAAACTTACGCCAGGCTACTGGTCTATACCGAAATCGAATCTTTAGGTATCAAAGGTTTTATAAGTCAACTTCTTCCAACAGTGTACAAGTCTCACGCGTGGGCTATTCTCTATACTCTTTTGGAAATGTTTAGCTATCGTATGCATCACATCCATCCCCATTATAGGGTTCAATTACTCAGTCATTTACATTCGCTTGCGGCTGTTCCTCAAGCAAATCAAACACAGTTACATCTTTGCGTTGAATCGACTGCTTTAAGATTAATTACGGGTAAATATGTGATTGAACATTAATTTACTAACAACTTTATAACGGAATATTACACGTAGGTTTAGGCAGTGGAGAAGTGCAACCGGAACTGTCTCGTTTCCTTCAGGAACCGAAAACGTTGGTCTCTGCTGAATCTGAAGAATTGAATAGAGCTTTGGTGTTGACTCTTGCGAGGGCCGCTCACGTTACTGGAGCGGATGGTAGTTGGTGTCACGAATTGCTCGGTACAATAGCACAAAGTACTCCGCATGCTTGGGCGCCCCACACACTCGAATGCTTTCCCAAAGCCTTGGCGGACTTCTTTACACAACACGTGGTTCCAAGAGAAAATAAACAACAACTTAAAAAGGCCGTGGAGGAGGAGTATCGCAAGTGGGCCTCCATGAACAACGAAAACGATATCATGGCCCATTTCGGAGTTGCTGGAGCGCCCCCATTATTCCTATGTCTTCTCTGGAAAATGCTCCTCGAAACTGATCATATAAGTCCTATTGCTTATAAGTATTGATTTGTTTTAATTGTATTAGTGCTATTATTTATTACATTTGTTTTTTGTAGAATTTTAGAGAGAATTGGGGCCAGAGCTTTATCAGCTCACTTACGCAAATTCTGCGACTGCTTAGTCTTTGAATTCAGTAATTCGCCGGGGGGTCAGCATGTAAACAAATGTGTTGATACGATAAATGACATAATATGGAAATATAATATTGTTTCAATAGATCGTCTTGTTTTGTGTCTCGCCCTGAGGACTCAAGAGGGCAGCGAAGCTCAAGTTTGCTCCTTTATAATCCAGTTGGTATTATTGAAGGCCACACAATTCCGGAATAGGTAAAAACTTAAAAGCAAAATCTGTAACAAAATCGTTACAAATGTACTTATTGTTCAGAGTCCAGGAATTTGTGAAAGATAATTCTCCGGATCACTGGAATCAAACGAATTGGCATGAAAAGCATTTGGAATTTCATTTAAAATATCCAGAAAAATTTTCCCCTGAAGAAGGACAAGGCAGCGGTTATCACCCTTATTTCGGAAATGTTTGCTTGAGATTTCTGCCTGTATTTGATATAGTTCTTCACAGATTTTTGGAAATTCCTCAGGTAACTAAAAGTTTAGAAACCCTCCTGGAACATCTAGGTTGTCTCTACAAATTCCATGACAGGCCGGTTACATATTTGTACAATACCCTGCATTACTACGAGAGTCGTTTGCGGGATAGGCCCCCGTTGAAGCGCCGTCTGGTCGCTGCAGTCTTGGGAAATCTTAAAAGTGCTCTTTCCGAACCGTATCAGATGTATTTAACTCGTTCGCCGGAAGAAGTGTGGCTTCCAGAGCTTGATTATTACGTGCAATTAGTTAAACGAGTAGTCGAAACAATAATGGAAACCGGTTCAGGGAATACTCTCACAGACTGGCGCTTTAACGAATTCCCAAACGCAGCAGCATATGCACTTTATACTACTTGCGTTGAACTGATGGCCTTATCAGCTGGTCCTACAATGGTTGCCACCTCTTTGCTTGACGTGGTTTTGAGGGGTTCTATGGTTATACCTCCCAACGACATACACAAGTGGATTAATGCAATAGGTATTGTAACAAAAGGAAACTTGTATTTAAAACCGAATGAGGAATTTGATCCCTTCATTTTAGGATTGATTTTGGCAGCACTCCCGGTTAGTTATTGGAGTGTTTTGTTGGATAAATTGCTCGAAATTTTAGGCGAAATTGAAAAATGGCCCTTTCAATGTTCTCCTTTTAAACTATTCAACTTTGAAGAGACACACATGGGCTTGTTACACAACCGATTTAGTTACATGTTAGCTTTGGCCCATTCAGTGTGGCATCATGCTGGACCTGGCCAAATGGTAGATATCAGTATCAGTACATATTTTACTAAATAGTAATAATTAATTTTTTAGGCAAGCGTTCCTCGTTGGGTTCGTGAACGACTTCCCGGTGTCGTTCGTACAGAAGCTCAGTTCATTTTTGTTTGTCACTTGGTGGGGCCTTTCTTGCAGCGTTTTAATACGGCAACTGGCGAACTTACAGGAGGTCTTTATGAACTATTGGCCCAAGTGGACATGTGTCAAACCAATATGGAATATATGGATTCCATATGCGATCTTCTGTATCACATAAAGTATATGTTTGTTGGAGATAGCATGAAGAAAGATTTGGATCCGGTAGTGCGACGATTAAGACCGGCATTGCAAATGCGTTTAAGGTTTATTGCCCATATAAATAAATAACAAGTTATTGATTCCTAAATGGGAATGATAAATAATAATAAACTCACAATTTCGTTTTTTATGAAACAAGCCCAACGTTCGATCGTGTAATACCATGTGTTTATTATAAATACTTTGTTTATTGTATTAAAATTAAGATAAAAATAAACATTTTTTTATTGTAAACGATGTTTTTTTGATCGTTTTTTATGGACCACGAATTAAATGTTGATTAATAATAATTAGATTGGTAGCCCTATTTATTTAGTAAATTTCCGTTAGGTGTTATATAGACACGTTTTAATTGCGAAAGTGCGGTTATGGAGACACGTCAACGTTAACAACAGAATCAAATATAACCTAACTTTTTTCTTACTGTTTCCAGGTTGTAATATGTGCAAACAATCTATTTTCTGAATATATTAATATCAAAATGAGTTAAACAAGAATAAATGTGTATTTTGAATTTGTTAATAATTGTATTAGTGTAACTCTTTAAAAAAAAAATGGTGATGGAATCAAAAACGACGAGTAAGACTAGCATTTTAAAAGCACTTCTTTTGAGAGCTTGGCGTGAACGTTGGAGTGATGTTCAGTGGGGTATCTACATTAAAACTGTATTACCAAGGGGTGTTAGTGGCGACGTGTACAACTTAGCCGACTGTATTCTACAACAGGCTCTTGTTGGTGCAGGGGCAAATCAACTAGTATTAAGTTATTTAAAACATTCCTTGAGTGCACAGTTAGTTTCGCATGCGGCGGTTTTACAAAGATTGAGCAAATATTCACAATATCATAAGGTGCACTGTGTCTACAGCCTGCTGGAGTTTTTAGAGGGCATGTTACCAGCCATAACTTGTTATGGAAAACCGGAAGAGACTGTTTTAGCCACTGCTTTGCTATCTACAGCCTTGTGGTTATTACAAGTTATAATACATTGTCATTGTAAAATTCAAATATTGGAGAAGGCCACTTTGCTGCTTCAGAATTTACTCTCATCTGATTTTTGTGTGGCAATGATGTGCTTGGCAAGGTATAGTGATACAGGTTAGCATAGTAGTAATAAAATCATCATCTTATTTGTCAAGTAATTAACATCCATTTATTTGCAGAATTGTTCTCTGAAATTACTAAAAAATGCATTGAAATTGAGAATTCTCCAAATGACAAAGAAATAGCCATTAAATCGGTTTGTGTCGTGCATGGTTTGGATGTTAATTCATTAAAAATAGTTGTCCCTACTGAAGAAACACCGAGTAGCTTAGTTCAGTCGTGGCTATTGGTGGAATTAGTACAGCATCCTGACAGCTCCACCTCATCTTTAGTACGACAGTTACATTTACTGCAACATCTGAAGAACTTATCTAATGCAAAACTTTATTTTGAATTAATAAGAGCAAGCCTCCTGTGTCTACAAGATCTCAGTCAGACACCTTATGAAACCCAATGGGGTGCTTTTGCATTCTTAAAGGTGCCACATATATTGGCCACATTAAACACTAAATCCGAGAGTGCAGAAACTGTTGAAAAGGCTGTAGAATTACTCTTACAAAATTCTCCATTACTGGATGCGATGGATACAAGAAGCTCATGTTCAAGCTTAGACTGTTTGTTGGGAGAGTTAGTTAAATTGAGACTCTTAACTGATGTTCAGGTTCAGTGTCTATCTGCGCGACGAGTAACTCCGCCCCAATTAAAAACCGATGAGGCTCCAGCTACCGCGGGAATTTCCAAAGTTGTAATTCGTGCCGAACCTACATTTACTGGTATTTTAAAAACAATGACAGCTGATTATCATAAAATTCAGGTACGGTTCAATTTTTAAAAAATAGTTCTATGTATGTGATTGTTTCGTTCCTTTTTAATTTTAGGAAGCTCTACTGGGAATGCTCTACCAAGTGCTCACAGGTAAAAGTTTAGAGTTGATCCTTGCAGTCGCGACCGTCCAAGGTCACTTACGGACATTTGCAGCACGTTTAAATCGATTCAACGAGTGCTCAAAAATTGGAGCCGATAAATCTCGCGCTCAGCTATTCGACATAAGTTTCTTGATACTCGTTGCCATTGTGCAACAGTACGGAGTAGAGACAGCCTTTGAAGCAGGCAACGACGACTCTTTTGTCGAGCAATGGGTTCGGGAATGCATGGTGGAACCCAACAGACCGAAGGCTTCCGATCAACTTCTTAAACTGTGCGATGCCACCACTGTAGATCTCCTTTTGCAGCAGTTTAACGCTGGTGAATCGGACTTTAAAGGAAACTCCGTTAAATGGCATGATATAGTTTTTAACATTCCAGGGGTGAGTAGTTTTCTTACACATTGTGCATTCAATAAAGATGTTGGATTACATTTCCAAAAAAAGGTTATGCGAGAAGTCCTTGTGGCCTGGGAACAAGGAGCTTTGTTGCCAGCAGACGTTAAAAGAATCTTGGATGCAGTCAGAGGCCGTATGTGTTGTCTACCGGTGGCAGCGGCTGCTTGGCTATGTGCTTATATGAAAACAGCACCCCAAGACACTCTTTTGAAACCTGTTAATATGGTACAACAACTGTTGGCTCCCCCTCCACTTCCTGAAGAAGATAATCATCGAGAAAGGCAATATACGTTAAAAATTTAGTCCCAACAGCCCTTTTTTAATTCATGTTTCATAAAAAAATAGGTGGTTACTTTCCTGTGAAATAATTCGTCGGATGCAGAGGGACATCCAGCTCCCGCTACAATCCAAAATTTCTGGGAACATCTCTTTTCGACAGCCTGCCGCAGAACAGTTTCATAATCTCTGGATGAAAGCGGTCAAGCGGGGTTGGTTAGACCATAGTTCTGCCAAGACCGTTCAGGGACTTCTTGAAACCGCTGGCCCTAGGTGGCTTGTTTATTCTGTCGTTCACGAACTCACTCAACTTCGATACAGGTACGAAGTTTCCGATGGTGATTTTTTATTGTAATTCGATTTTCCCCTTGTTAGAAACCAACTGAGTCGAGGGGTGGACATAGCTCTTGCGCTGTTCCACTTCGACATATACAAGTGCTGCCTCGAACTTTTATGTTACGTATTACCGCAGCATCTTATCAACAGTAAACAAGCGGACGAAATAGTCGACCCCCAGTTGTCAGCCGTCGCCAAACTCACGAGCTATTGCCTTTATGCCACGTGCGAATTGATTACCGCAAAGAATGACAGGGTGAGTTTGCAAATTATGCTTTTCTTGTGTCGTTCACTAAATTTATTTCTATTCGTAGGATATCGAATCAGGACCGCCCTCGCAGAAGATCTCGCGTTTATCAGAAACATGCTACGATGCAAAATCGAATCCTTCGATAGACGTCCTGTTACCTTTCTTACGCCAGATGCTTATTGCCCTCGAAACGACTCTCCAAGAGGGTCATGTTACCCAACAAATATATTTTGCGCTTCATCTATTAAAGTATTTAGTTGAAACGTACTCACCCATCACCACAATAATCCTGAGCGCAGTTCCTCCGTCTCTGGTGTCCGGTCTGTTGAAAATTTTACCCGAACATTTCGGGTCTGCTTTTCTTTTACATCTGTACGACATTCACACGACATCGGGGCGAAGTAACATGGCGAAAGACTTGTGTTTGTTGCGGAACTATCAATTGAAGAATCTTGGTGGTAGCGGTAGATAAAACAACAAACTCTTGTATATATAGTACACTTTTGGAATTTCATTTTCTTGTTTCTATTTTTTCGTAACTATCTATCGCCGGTTTCCTTTAAAGAAACAAATAAATTTCGAATAAATAAAGCAACAGTAATAGGGTGTTTGATTGGAAACTAAACCGAACTATTAGATGTTCTAAAGTCAAAATAAACATGTACGAGGGTTTTTAAGGGTATACCATAAAGCTGAAAAAATCGATTTAAATTGAAGTATATTGCGTAAAATATTTATATACAAAAAATATACAAAGAAAACTATTGACAAAATATACAAAAAAATTACTTAAATGGAAAAAGAAACACTGACATTCTTTATTATTATTTATCACTTATGCTGAAGAGCACTGATGCATTTGTATTTGTCTCGATAAATAACTAACGTTTACACATAAAAAGTATGCAACACAAGTTATAATACGATATGGCATTCTTTTTTTTTTTGTTTGTTTTACAACTTCCGGTGACAAAATAGTTTCTATTTTATTGATTAGTTTTTTCGCTCTAATTTTACCTTAATTAAATAACAACAATTTTGATAACACTGACGTGAATATAACTTGTTCTACTTTTCCATATTATTGCAACAATTCTGATTTAAAATAACTTGCAAACGATGATTTTTTTAGCTTATTTGTTTTATTAGGCTTGTTATTATTAAACCTTTAATTTCGATGCAAATCGTACATAATTGACTTCAATTGAAGTATATTGTTGGTAATTATTTGGTAGCGAAACTTATTTACGCATCTACAGTAGGTTACAAAAATAACAATTCATCTTAATATATGCACTAAACAACTGATTATTGTTTATTGACTTATATTTATACTGTTAACTAAATATTATACAAACGATGTCGTTATTTTCGAAACATACTGTACACTAAATAAACAATTATTACCACTTATACTTTCCAGGCTATAATCAGGAGGCAAGTGATAATTAAAAACTAGACTCTTTAATTCCCGAGAGTTAAAATTTATCTTGTTTTAGTAATAGTTTCTGTTGTAGTGTACCGGGTGTATCATTATTAGTTACCAGTAGTTGTATGAGAAGCGCAAACAAAACAAGTGTTTTTTTTTTATAAAAATAATAATGAGAAAAACAGATAACTTTTGTGAGCGAGATATATCCCTCTAAAATAATATCTATAAAATGAGAGACGTTGGAACAGACAAGGGGGTTTAATAGTGACACAGCATAAGCTAGCGGAGTGGAGGCGGTCAAGGGGAAGGCGATGATATATTAGCACGTGTACAACCGTATGGACTTCACGCACCACCCATCCTCCCCAAGAGGCCTCACTTCCCTCGTCTATACTAACACTACGCCCCCATGTCCTTGCGTTGGAGACGACTAAAATAATGAAGAGATTGAGCAAAATTTAATACTACAAATGCTACTTGTTATTCCTATGGTTTCGGTAGGGATGAGGTGGAGGAAAATATATTCGTAAGGGGGCTGGTCGTTAATTGGTTAATTGGATTTTTAATCGCTTTCAGACTGTTTCTATGTATTTATGGATGGAATGGTCGGAATGTACGGATTAAAAAAGAAAAAATGCTTCTACGATGCCTATTATTTCTTGAAACCTTTAGAAACAAGTTTATTCTAAACAATTACGAGTTCTATTATTACCAGATATGTTTTAAACGTGCGATGAATGATATGGGATGGTCATATTTAATTGGTAGAATTTTTATTGGGTGGCTTTTTTCTTTTCTTTTATTTATTTCGCAATAAATCTACATATTACAATTTTAGAGGCATATTTCCGGTTGGTGGGTGGAAATGGATGATGATAATACGTAAGGCATGAATATTAACGAAACCTTTTCCTTCTTTCCTATCTTAGCAACACGTTTCGGAAAGAGAAAAAGGATTTCAAATAATACCCATCAATCTGGATATTTATTACCTACTGTTTTATGTACTCGATAAGAAAAAAGACAAAGTTTTCGGTCAAGAAGACCTACCACATTATTAAACAACCTACAACGAGGTCAAATTTATCATTTAATTATTAGTTTATTAATTATTTAGTTTCCGTTTTACTATTCTCTTGTTCTTTACTTTAAAAACGACTGGATTGTCCTAACGAACTAACGAAACTATCGTCCGTCAGATGATTCGCTTTTTTATTTTTAATTGTTATCTACTATTTTAATCGAAGCTTGTATAAAAACTTATTGATTCACTTCCGAGGTGATAATAATAATAATAATATTATTTATAAGTACGATAGGTACGTAAGTACAACAATTTTGCGAAGAAACCAACATTTCCTTATTAAAATCGTTATCGATTTATACACGGTTTAATTGACACAATAATGATCATAAATCGATTAGATACTTCTTTCCTATGTTTGGTAAATATATGTATGTATATACTTATATGTGTATATAATGTATAGAGTTTAAAAACGTACACAAATCACAATAATTGCATCAACAATTTAATAAGAATAATAAAAAGGATGATTATGACGATGACGATGATGATGAGAATAGCGGTAATAAAAATATTTGACAAATAAATTTCGAATAAATAAAGCAACAGTAATAGGGTGTTTGATTGGAAACTAAACCAAACTATTAGATGTTCTAAAGTCAAAATAAACATGTACGAGGGTTTTTAAGGGTATACCATAAAGCTGAAAAAATCGATTTAAATTGAAGTATATTGCGTAAAATATTTATATACAAAAAATATACAAAGAAAACTATTGACAAAATATACAAAAAAATTACTTAAATGGAAAAAGAAACACTGACATTCTTTATTATTATTTATCACTTATGCTGAAGAGCACTGATGCATTTGTATTTGTCTCGAAAAATAACTAACGTTTACACATAAAAAGTATGCAACACAAGTTATAATACGATATGGCATTCTTTTTTTTTTTGTTTGTTTTACAACTTCCGGTGACAAAATAGTTTCTATTTTATTGATTAGTTTTTTCGCTCTAATTTTACCTTAATTAAATAACAACAATTTTGATAACACTGACGTGAATATAACTTGTTCTACTTTTCCATATTATTGCAACAATTCTGATTTAAAATAACTTGCAAACGATGATTTTTTTAGCTTATTTGTTTTATTAGGCTTGTTATTATTAAACCTTTAATTTCGATGCAAATCGTACATAATTGACTTCAATTGAAGTATATTGTTGGTAATTATTTGGTAGCGAAACTTATTTACGCATCTACAGTAGGTTACAAAAATAACAATTCATCTTAATATATGCACTAAACAACTGATTATTGTTTATTGACTTATATTTATACTGTTAACTAAATATTATACAAACGATGTCGTTATTTTCGAAACATACTGTACACTAAATAAACAATTATTACCACTTATACTTTCCAGGCTATAATCAGGAGGCAAGTGATAATTAAAAACTAGACTCTTTAATTCCCGAGAGTTAAAATTTATCTTGTTTTAGTAATAGTTTCTGTTGTAGTGTACCGGGTGTATCATTATTAGTTACCAGTAGTTGTATGAGAAGCGCAAACAAAACAAGTGTTTTTTTTTTATAAAAATAATAATGAGAAAAACAGATAACTTTTGTGAGCGAGATATATCCCTCTAAAATAATATCTATAAAATGAGAGACGTTGGAACAGACAAGGGGGTTTAATAGTGACACAGCATAAGCTAGCGGAGTGGAGGCGGTCAAGGGGAAGGCGATGATATATTAGCACGTGTACAACCGTATGGACTTCACGCACCACCCATCCTCCCCAAGAGGCCTCACTTCCCTCGTCTATACTAACACTACGCCCCCATGTCCTTGCGTTGGAGACGACTAAAATAATGAAGAGATTGAGCAAAATTTAATACTACAAATGCTACTTGTTATTCCTATGGTTTCGGTAGGGATGAGGTGGAGGAAAATATATTCGTAAGGGGGCTGGTCGTTAATTGGTTAATTGGATTTTTAATCGCTTTCAGACTGTTTCTATGTATTTATGGATGGAATGGTCGGAATGTACGGATTAAAAAAGAAAAAATGCTTCTACGATGCCTATTATTTCTTGAAACCTTTAGAAACAAGTTTATTCTAAACAATTACGAGTTCTATTATTACCAGATATGTTTTAAACGTGCGATGAATGATATGGGATGGTCATATTTAATTGGTAGAATTTTTATTGGGTGGCTTTTTTCTTTTCTTTTATTTATTTCGCAATAAATCTACATATTACAATTTTAGAGGCATATTTCCGGTTGGTGGGTGGAAATGGATGATGATAATACGTAAGGCATGAATATTAACGAAACCTTTTCCTTCTTTCCTATCTTAGCAACACGTTTCGGAAAGAGAAAAAGGATTTCAAATAATACCCATCAATCTGGATATTTATTACCTACTGTTTTATGTACTCGATAAGAAAAAAGACAAAGTTTTCGGTCAAGAAGACCTACCACATTATTAAACAACCTACAACGAGGTCAAATTTATCATTTAATTATTAGTTTATTAATTATTTAGTTTCCGTTTTACTATTCTCTTGTTCTTTACTTTAAAAACGACTGGATTGTCCTAACGAACTAACGAAACTATCGTCCGTCAGATGATTCGCTTTTTTATTTTTAATTGTTATCTACTATTTTAATCGAAGCTTGTATAAAAACTTATTGATTCACTTCCGAGGTGATAATAATAATAATAATATTATTTATAAGTACGATAGGTACGTAAGTACAACAATTTTGCGAAGAAACCAACATTTCCTTATTAAAATCGTTATCGATTTATACACGGTTTAATTGACACAATAATGATCATAAATCGATTAGATACTTCTTTCCTATGTTTGGTAAATATATGTATGTATATACTTATATGTGTATATAATGTATAGAGTTTAAAAACGTACACAAATCACAATAATTGCATCAACAATTTAATAAGAATAATAAAAAGGATGATTATGACGATGACGATGATGATGAGAATAGCGGTAATAAAAATATTTGTTCTCGTAGCTCATCAAGTTTAATAATTATTTGGAATTCCTTTTCCATCACTAACCTTCTAATCGTTTGTGTTGGGTGAAAGTTACGCGTGTGTTTATTAAGTAATCGTAGCCGAACATGGGCAGCCTATTTTTTTTTGTATCATCATCTTACTTATTTACTTCAACTGACAAAACGGTATCTTTAATATCTTCTTTGTATATGTATATAGTTAATTGATATGTACATTAAGTATTAACCATGATTTAGATGGACGCGTGCCATTAACGTCATCTGAATGGTAGTCGCAACAAAAGCTTTTTCATCTTCTGACAATAAGTTAAGATATTTACATCGTCCGGGCTATGTAGCCGTGGTCCAGCAGGATAAAGGTTGGATACATTATGTATCCTATTGGACAACGCTACACAGCCAGGACAATGTAAACCTAGTAACTCAAACAGTATCGGGCGTGAAAGCCTATATTGTTACCAAAGGTCTTTCACTTAATTTCTCTTTGCTTCTAATTGACTAACCATTTTGTGGCAATACGATTACTTCGTAATGGAATAATAAAAATTAAAATTGCACACAAAAATAATATTTAGACAATGAAAAGGGATTATTGACGTGTGTGGAGGGGGGGAGATAAAGTATCACAGGTTATAAACGAAGTGTGATTAATTTTAACTAAACAAACTGAGTAGGGGTATAAACTTAATCAAGTGATTGAAATTTATCTAACAAGTTGGGATACCTATCTAATAGAAGTAAATCTCATCCGTATGAGTATAAAAAGAGCAGTTCGATGGAGGATAAGCTACTACAGGAATGTGGACACGGTTTAAGTTACAATATGGGCGGCGCCTGGCCACCTACAGCCTGTTTGTAGTTGAAATAATAATTGAGCAGATCTCCCTTCTCCTCGATTTCTATACACCCATGAATGGTATAATATGTTTATAGGTCAGAATAACTTTGCACACAAAAGAAATAATTACGTTAAATATTCACAATATCACATATACATTATTTTGCCAGACTGCGATTATCTGTAGGCCGGTAAACGAGACGCCGTGTCTCTAAATTAGCTTCATCCGAAGTCAGTAGCCGTTCGTGGATAACTGTGTAATACACATTACGCGTAGAACGAAGGAGATGTGGTAAATAGGATACGAGACTCACCTGGGACCTAGAGGATATCAGACGGTAGCAGGAAGAACTTAATTTCGTTTGTTCATTATCCAAACAACGTTCTACTGACAAATGTTTCGTTCCTACAGACGGGCAAACTCTTCCATTATTATTTAATTTGAAAAAATTGTCCTAACAGGGGGATTATTATCCTTTACTATGGCCTCGTCACCTACCTCTGGGCGACTTCGGAGGAGGCCATTCTCTACGTTACTACTTCTTCTGCTTTCTAACTACTATTCCTGCATAAAAAATCGAAACGTTACTATAAAAATTCGTCGTTCGAAACTTCAATTTAAATAATTACAAACGTCAGTCTTTTCGTGTTCGTCGTTTCGACGAGGGCCGCTTCTCACACGTGCGTCGCTAACGCCCCCCTCTTCGTCGTCGTTATGTACTGGTGATTGGTGGGCGAGTTCGGCAGTCGTGTCAGCTGGGGGGTAGCCGCCGTGACCGCAACACCGTTCGCTGCTGCACTGCCCGCACAAATGTTCATCGCGGCATTACTACAGTTCACTAAGGTACGGGAGGTGGAGGATGTGTCCCTTGAATAGGGCGGGGGCGCCGGTGTGGCCACCGGATTCGCGGTATTTGGCGTGGGCAAGCCGACGCTAGAACTCCTCAAATAGGGGTTTCCGTAGGCCGCACTGTAACGGGGATCTATGGAGCCCCCCATTGTCGTGTGTCCGTTAGGAATGCTGCTACTGTTAAGGTCGTTTAGTGTTATGGTGGACGAGATTGTGTAATGAGGGGCTTGCATGGCGTTTAATTGGAGCGCTCTGGACTGTAAGCTCTCTGATGATTCCATGGGAGGAGGTTGAGGCATTGGAGGGTTGTAATCTCGAGCGTAATCGACATACGGTACGTAACCGTTATTGTTTTGCCCGTCCTACGGTACAAAATTTTATTAATAAATATTAAATGTTTGTGGTAAACGAATGACTTACTTTTGAGGCAAAATTGGCATCCGTATAATCCGCCGAGTACCTGTAAATGTCCTGGTTCGAAATAGCCACCGGTCCTGCCAATGGAACCCCTATTCTTGTTATAACCGATTCGCTGCCCGTTTCTGATTCGATTCCCGGCACATAATCGTCACAATGGACGTTACTGACCGAAGATCCCGTCCTCAGATCTATTTTAAGATCGGAAATGTTGGAACTTCTATCCGACTCTTTGCACTGCTTCTCCATTGTGTTATTTTCTCCTACAAATTAATTTATTATTATTACTGCATTTTTTATTCTAATGGCTAAAACTCACCATCAGGCTGAGATTTCTTGTTTCCCTGTCTTTGGCAAAGGAAGACGATCATGACGACAATGACGAGAACTATGATGGCCCCGACGACGCCCACAATCACGATAAGTATTGGGAAGTTTTCTGAAACGGTAACTAGATATGTAACATTAATAGACATAAAGAAAACTAATCCGAAATTGTTATCAACACATACTTTGCGGTATCAAATTGATTTCGACCACGTCCGTTCCGTAAGCATTCGACACCGTGCAATTGTAGTTACCGAAGTGTCTGCCCTGCGACTCCCTGATGATCAGGGTGGACTTGATGCCCTCCGGGATGGGGTCCTCGAGGATGGAGAAGTCCTGATCGTGTACGTCCACTTCTTTCCCGTTAAACGTCCAAATGACGTGATCTGCCGCAGGGACAGAATAAGCGGTACACTCAACACGTACATTATCGCCTTCTATACCAAACTGGGTCCTACGACTTATGATATTCGGAGGACCTGAAAAAAAAATAAATTGGAATCGATTTGAAATTTAAACTGATTGATAAATACTCACCCTTGAGGTAGATGGCGGCACTTGCTTCGACATCGGGAAATCCTGGGATGTGCGCCTTGCAAAGATATCGTCCTGCAGTTTTTCTCTCTACTTTTACTGTTAAGTTGGGGTTGTTGCTGACCACCTCGTTCGTGTCTTCCTTTATCCACGTTATTTCCGGCAGAGGATTACCGTCCACATCACACGTAATAGTCTTTGTACTTCCTAAATCGGCCTGCACTGACTTTGGTTTATTTCGAAAGTATGGAGCATCTACACAGAAAGAAAATAAAAGATATTCGAAGAAAATGCCTTTCTGTTGTAACAACGTACAGCTAATGTCCAAAGTTTCGCTCTCTTCGCTTTTACCGACCGGATTGTGGACCTCGCATTTGACCATGGAATCGTGGTACTTTCGCGTGACGTTGTGTAAGAGTAGTTCGGTGGTGTAATCGCCTACGACGAGCTCGTCGTTTAAAAACCACCTGTACGTGAGATCCGGGGGATTTGCGTCCGCGTTACATTTCAACCTCACATCGCTACCTTCTAATATTCTGCCATTCGACGACGTTTCCGACACAATTGACACCGTCACTTTCGGAGCGTATTTCACCTGCAAATAAAATTCCCATCAATATTATTCATATCTTATACGAATTAAATTNGGCGAAATTGAAAAATGGCCCTTTCAATGTTCTCCTTTTAAACTATTCAACTTTGAAGAGACACACATGGGCTTGTTACACAACCGATTTAGTTACATGTTAGCTTTGGCCCATTCAGTGTGGCATCATGCTGGACCTGGCCAAATGGTAGATATCAGTATCAGTACATATTTTACTAAATAGTAATAATTAATTTTTTAGGCAAGCGTTCCTCGTTGGGTTCGTGAACGACTTCCCGGTGTCGTTCGTACAGAAGCTCAGTTCATTTTTGTTTGTCACTTGGTGGGGCCTTTCTTGCAGCGTTTTAATACGGCAACTGGCGAACTTACAGGAGGTCTTTATGAACTATTGGCCCAAGTGGACATGTGTCAAACCAATATGGAATATATGGATTCCATATGCGATCTTCTGTATCACATAAAGTATATGTTTGTTGGAGATAGCATGAAGAAAGATTTGGATCCGGTAGTGCGACGATTAAGACCGGCATTGCAAATGCGTTTAAGGTTTATTGCCCATATAAATAAATAACAAGTTATTGATTCCTAAATGGGAATGATAAATAATAATAAACTCACAATTTCGTTTTTTATGAAACAAGCCCAACGTTCGATCGTGTAATACCATGTGTTTATTATAAATACTTTGTTTATTGTATTAAAATTAAGATAAAAATAAACATTTTTTTATTGTAAACGATGTTTTTTTGATCGTTTTTTATGGACCACGAATTAAATGTTGATTAATAATAATTAGATTGGTAGCCCTATTTATTTAGTAAATTTCCGTTAGGTGTTATATAGACACGTTTTAATTGCGAAAGTGCGGTTATGGAGACACGTCAACGTTAACAACAGAATCAAATATAACCTAACTTTTTTCTTACTGTTTCCAGGTTGTAATATGTGCAAACAATCTATTTTCTGAATATATTAATATCAAAATGAGTTAAACAAGAATAAATGTGTATTTTGAATTTGTTAATAATTGTATTAGTGTAACTCTTTAAAAAAAAAATGGTGATGGAATCAAAAACGACGAGTAAGACTAGCATTTTAAAAGCACTTCTTTTGAGAGCTTGGCGTGAACGTTGGAGTGATGTTCAGTGGGGTATCTACATTAAAACTGTATTACCAAGGGGTGTTAGTGGCGACGTGTACAACTTAGCCGACTGTATTCTACAACAGGCTCTTGTTGGTGCAGGGGCAAATCAACTAGTATTAAGTTATTTAAAACATTCCTTGAGTGCACAGTTAGTTTCGCATGCGGCGGTTTTACAAAGATTGAGCAAATATTCACAATATCATAAGGTGCACTGTGTCTACAGCCTGCTGGAGTTTTTAGAGGGCATGTTACCAGCCATAACTTGTTATGGAAAACCGGAAGAGACTGTTTTAGCCACTGCTTTGCTATCTACAGCCTTGTGGTTATTACAAGTTATAATACATTGTCATTGTAAAATTCAAATATTGGAGAAGGCCACTTTGCTGCTTCAGAATTTACTCTCATCTGATTTTTGTGTGGCAATGATGTGCTTGGCAAGGTATAGTGATACAGGTTAGCATAGTAGTAATAAAATCATCATCTTATTTGTCAAGTAATTAACATCCATTTATTTGCAGAATTGTTCTCTGAAATTACTAAAAAATGCATTGAAATTGAGAATTCTCCAAATGACAAAGAAATAGCCATTAAATCGGTTTGTGTCGTGCATGGTTTGGATGTTAATTCATTAAAAATAGTTGTCCCTACTGAAGAAACACCGAGTAGCTTAGTTCAGTCGTGGCTATTGGTGGAATTAGTACAGCATCCTGACAGCTCCACCTCATCTTTAGTACGACAGTTACATTTACTGCAACATCTGAAGAACTTATCTAATGCAAAACTTTATTTTGAATTAATAAGAGCAAGCCTCCTGTGTCTACAAGATCTCAGTCAGACACCTTATGAAACCCAATGGGGTGCTTTTGCATTCTTAAAGGTGCCACATATATTGGCCACATTAAACACTAAATCCGAGAGTGCAGAAACTGTTGAAAAGGCTGTAGAATTACTCTTACAAAATTCTCCATTACTGGATGCGATGGATACAAGAAGCTCATGTTCAAGCTTAGACTGTTTGTTGGGAGAGTTAGTTAAATTGAGACTCTTAACTGATGTTCAGGTTCAGTGTCTATCTGCGCGACGAGTAACTCCGCCCCAATTAAAAACCGATGAGGCTCCAGCTACCGCGGGAATTTCCAAAGTTGTAATTCGTGCCGAACCTACATTTACTGGTATTTTAAAAACAATGACAGCTGATTATCATAAAATTCAGGTACGGTTCAATTTTTAAAAAATAGTTCTATGTATGTGATTGTTTCGTTCCTTTTTAATTTTAGGAAGCTCTACTGGGAATGCTCTACCAAGTGCTCACAGGTAAAAGTTTAGAGTTGATCCTTGCAGTCGCGACCGTCCAAGGTCACTTACGGACATTTGCAGCACGTTTAAATCGATTCAACGAGTGCTCAAAAATTGGAGCCGATAAATCTCGCGCTCAGCTATTCGACATAAGTTTCTTGATACTCGTTGCCATTGTGCAACAGTACGGAGTAGAGACAGCCTTTGAAGCAGGCAACGACGACTCTTTTGTCGAGCAATGGGTTCGGGAATGCATGGTGGAACCCAACAGACCGAAGGCTTCCGATCAACTTCTTAAACTGTGCGATGCCACCACTGTAGATCTCCTTTTGCAGCAGTTTAACGCTGGTGAATCGGACTTTAAAGGAAACTCCGTTAAATGGCATGATATAGTTTTTAACATTCCAGGGGTGAGTAGTTTTCTTACACATTGTGCATTCAATAAAGATGTTGGATTACATTTCCAAAAAAAGGTTATGCGAGAAGTCCTTGTGGCCTGGGAACAAGGAGCTTTGTTGCCAGCAGACGTTAAAAGAATCTTGGATGCAGTCAGAGGCCGTATGTGTTGTCTACCGGTGGCAGCGGCTGCTTGGCTATGTGCTTATATGAAAACAGCACCCCAAGACACTCTTTTGAAACCTGTTAATATGGTACAACAACTGTTGGCTCCCCCTCCACTTCCTGAAGAAGATAATCATCGAGAAAGGCAATATACGTTAAAAATTTAGTCCCAACAGCCCTTTTTTAATTCATGTTTCATAAAAAAATAGGTGGTTACTTTCCTGTGAAATAATTCGTCGGATGCAGAGGGACATCCAGCTCCCGCTACAATCCAAAATTTCTGGGAACATCTCTTTTCGACAGCCTGCCGCAGAACAGTTTCATAATCTCTGGATGAAAGCGGTCAAGCGGGGTTGGTTAGACCATAGTTCTGCCAAGACCGTTCAGGGACTTCTTGAAACCGCTGGCCCTAGGTGGCTTGTTTATTCTGTCGTTCACGAACTCACTCAACTTCGATACAGGTACGAAGTTTCCGATGGTGATTTTTTATTGTAATTCGATTTTCCCCTTGTTAGAAACCAACTGAGTCGAGGGGTGGACATAGCTCTTGCGCTGTTCCACTTCGACATATACAAGTGCTGCCTCGAACTTTTATGTTACGTATTACCGCAGCATCTTATCAACAGTAAACAAGCGGACGAAATAGTCGACCCCCAGTTGTCAGCCGTCGCCAAACTCACGAGCTATTGCCTTTATGCCACGTGCGAATTGATTACCGCAAAGAATGACAGGGTGAGTTTGCAAATTATGCTTTTCTTGTGTCGTTCACTAAATTTATTTCTATTCGTAGGATATCGAATCAGGACCGCCCTCGCAGAAGATCTCGCGTTTATCAGAAACATGCTACGATGCAAAATCGAATCCTTCGATAGACGTCCTGTTACCTTTCTTACGCCAGATGCTTATTGCCCTCGAAACGACTCTCCAAGAGGGTCATGTTACCCAACAAATATATTTTGCGCTTCATCTATTAAAGTATTTAGTTGAAACGTACTCACCCATCACCACAATAATCCTGAGCGCAGTTCCTCCGTCTCTGGTGTCCGGTCTGTTGAAAATTTTACCCGAACATTTCGGGTCTGCTTTTCTTTTACATCTGTACGACATTCACACGACATCGGGGCGAAGTAACATGGCGAAAGACTTGTGTTTGTTGCGGAACTATCAATTGAAGAATCTTGGTGGTAGCGGTAGATAAAACAACAAACTCTTGTATATATAGTACACTTTTGGAATTTCATTTTCTTGTTTCTATTTTTTCGTAACTATCTATCGCCGGTTTCCTTTAAAGAAACAAATAAATTTCGAATAAATAAAGCAACAGTAATAGGGTGTTTGATTGGAAACTAAACCAAACTATTAGATGTTCTAAAGTCAAAATAAACATGTACGAGGGTTTTTAAGGGTATACCATAAAGCTGAAAAAATCGATTTAAATTGAAGTATATTGCGTAAAATATTTATATACAAAAAATATACAAAGAAAACTATTGACAAAATATACAAAAAAATTACTTAAATGGAAAAAGAAACACTGACATTCTTTATTATTATTTATCACTTATGCTGAAGAGCACTGATGCATTTGTATTTGTCTCGAAAAATAACTAACGTTTACACATAAAAAGTATGCAACACAAGTTATAATACGATATGGCATTCTTTTTTTTTTGTTTGTTTTACAACTTCCGGTGACAAAATAGTTTCTATTTTATTGATTAGTTTTTTCGCTCTAATTTTACCTTAATTAAATAACAACAATTTTGATAACACTGACGTGAATATAACTTGTTCTACTTTTCCATATTATTGCAACAATTCTGATTTAAAATAACTTGCAAACGATGATTTTTTTAGCTTATTTGTTTTATTAGGCTTGTTATTATTAAACCTTTAATTTCGATGCAAATCGTACATAATTGACTTCAATTGAAGTATATTGTTGGTAATTATTTGGTAGCGAAACTTATTTACGCATCTACAGTAGGTTACAAAAATAACAATTCATCTTAATATATGCACTAAACAACTGATTATTGTTTATTGACTTATATTTATACTGTTAACTAAATATTATACAAACGATGTCGTTATTTTCGAAACATACTGTACACTAAATAAACAATTATTACCACTTATACTTTCCAGGCTATAATCAGGAGGCAAGTGATAATTAAAAACTAGACTCTTTAATTCCCGAGAGTTAAAATTTATCTTGTTTTAGTAATAGTTTCTGTTGTAGTGTACCGGGTGTATCATTATTAGTTACCAGTAGTTGTATGAGAAGCGCAAACAAAACAAGTGTTTTTTTTTTATAAAAATAATAATGAGAAAAACAGATAACTTTTGTGAGCGAGATATATCCCTCTAAAATAATATCTATAAAATGAGAGACGTTGGAACAGACAAGGGGGTTTAATAGTGACACAGCATAAGCTAGCGGAGTGGAGGCGGTCAAGGGGAAGGCGATGATATATTAGCACGTGTACAACCGTATGGACTTCACGCACCACCCATCCTCCCCAAGAGGCCTCACTTCCCTCGTCTATACTAACACTACGCCCCCATGTCCTTGCGTTGGAGACGACTAAAATAATGAAGAGATTGAGCAAAATTTAATACTACAAATGCTACTTGTTATTCCTATGGTTTCGGTAGGGATGAGGTGGAGGAAAATATATTCGTAAGGGGGCTGGTCGTTAATTGGTTAATTGGATTTTTAATCGCTTTCAGACTGTTTCTATGTATTTATGGATGGAATGGTCGGAATGTACGGATTAAAAAAGAAAAAATGCTTCTACGATGCCTATTATTTCTTGAAACCTTTAGAAACAAGTTTATTCTAAACAATTACGAGTTCTATTATTACCAGATATGTTTTAAACGTGCGATGAATGATATGGGATGGTCATATTTAATTGGTAGAATTTTTATTGGGTGGCTTTTTTCTTTTCTTTTATTTATTTCGCAATAAATCTACATATTACAATTTTAGAGGCATATTTCCGGTTGGTGGGTGGAAATGGATGATGATAATACGTAAGGCATGAATATTAACGAAACCTTTTCCTTCTTTCCTATCTTAGCAACACGTTTCGGAAAGAGAAAAAGGGTACGAAGTTTCC